GTGTCCCCAATCAGTTTCCTTTGCTTTTAGAACAAAACAATCCCAGTCTGTATAATCTCTCTTTGTAACTGAAACTTTCCAGCCCAAGCAACATCCTGGTAAATCTCCTCTGCACCCTCTCCAGCATCATCACACCCCTCCTATAGTGTGGATTCAGAACTGCACACAATACTCTCGTTGTGGCTTAGCCAATGTTTTATACAGTTCCAGCACAACTTCCCTGCTCTTAATCTCTATGCCTTGGCAAATCGAGCAAGTATACCTTATGCCTTCTTCACCACTTTATTCACCTAAAGAAATCAATAGACCTCCATGCCAATGTCCTGCTAATCCTTGATACTTCCCAGGGTCCTACTGTTCATCATGCGTTCCCTTGCCTTATTTGTCCTGTCCAAGTGCATCATGTTTGCAGGATTTTCCCTTAAAAAAATAACATTTCTGCAGATTTGGGGAATATTCATGATGTCATATATAAATGGAGCAGCAAATGCATATTGTACTGTTTTTCAGTTTGTCTTAATTTTTGGCCATTTTTTTCAGAGTTGCCTGCAATTGTGATGTATTTGGACAGTGACTTGAATCTTTACTCTCCCAGTACAGCAGCTTTGCCCTGCTCAGCCGAGCTCCCTTCAAACAACAAAACAGTTTGATTGTTCAAAGAACTGCAGAGCCTTTGGGAGTTTCATTTCCTGTTTAAAAACTGAAGTTGCAATTAAAACGTTTGAGACAAAAACATTTTCAACTTAAAATGTGAAAACATAGAGTGAAGCAGATCTGAGAGGATTGGGCTGCAAGTCTGAGCCTCATGAACAGAAACGTTTGATTTTTGTGAGTTCCGAAGAAGTTTATTGACCTGAAATGTTTCCACAGATGCTGCCAAACTTGCTGAGTTTCTCCAGCACTTTCTGTTGTTATTTCAGATTTCCAGCATCTGCAGTGTTTTTGATTTTAATTGCTTTAACAGTGTGATTTCACCAGGGTTTAATTGCAGAAACTATTGAAAATTCAGTCAGTCCGGGCATATCTGAGGTGACAAAAGTAGGGTTTTAGTTTTTGGGAGAGAGTTCTGACAAAGGATCTGCAGCCCCAAAAATAAAAGCTGAGCCCTTGATCTTTTCAGGTTCCTGCTCTGTATCTCCAGCCTTGTTTTCAGATTTGCAACATTTTTATTTGATATTGTCCTAGTGGCTGTCAGTGAAGTACCCATCACAGGAGAAGTGACAGCTCAAGATGACTGCAATTCAAAAAAAAACCCTTCATTTACGTTTATTTTTAGTCACTCATGAAACATGAATGTTGCTAGCTGGGCCAGCACTTATTGACTGTCCAAACTGGGCGTCACTGAGCAGGTTATTGCTGAGCAGGTGCTGCTCGATAGCAATGTTGATGACAAATTCCATCACTTTACTGACGATCAAGAGTAGACTGATGGGGCAGTAACTGGTTGGGTTAGATTTGACACACTTTTTATCTACAGGACATACCTGGGCAATTTTCCTCCAGTGTTGCAGCTGTATTAGAACAGCTTGGCTAGGGGAGTGGCAGATTCTGGAGCACAAGTCTTCAGCACTATTGCCCGAATCTTGTAGCCTTTGCAGTACCCACTGCCTTCAACTGTTTCTTGATGTCACGCAGAGTGAATCAAATTGGCTGAAGACTGGAAACTGTAATGCTGGGGACCACTGGAGGAGGCCAAGATGGATCATCCACTTGGCATTTCCGCCTGAAGATTGTTGCAAATGCTCCCTTGTCATGTTACTTTTTCCAAAGTGTACCTCACAGTTATCAGCGTTAGATTCCATCTGCCACTGATCTGCCTTTCTGACCCATCCTTTTATATCCCACTGTAACCAAAGACCTTGATTTGATTTGATTTGATTTATTGTCATGTGTACCTAAGTACAGTGAAAGGTTTACTCACTGTCAACCACTGACCGATACTTGTGTAATCTGCAAACTTACTTATCATCCCCTGACTCACTCTCGTCAATATCATTTAAAGGACACCAGCACTGATTCCTGTGATTTGCCAATGGACACTGACCTCCAGCCACACAAATGGCCTTCTACCATCACCCTCTGTTTCCTACCACTAACCAATTTTGAATCCATTTTGTTAAGTTATCCTGGATCTCACATTTTTACCTTCTTTATCAGTCTCGCCTGTGGAACCTTGTCAGAGGCTTTGCTAAAATATAAAAAAACCGGATTAATTGCACAACCTCATCTACACACCTAGTCACCTCTTCGAAAAATATGTCTATAACTTGCTTCTTATGCTGTTGGCACATGAGTTGTCCTGTTTTGTAATTTCACTAGGTTGCAACTTCATTTTTATTTATTCCTGGTGCTGCTCCTGACATACTCTCCTGCGCTCATCATTGAATTTCTGAATTTAGATCATCCCTCATGCTTCTATTATACTAATACTATAATTACCCAACAGAGTCACCTCTCTACCTTTTGCCTAGTTTTCTGTCATTCCTAAATGTCATGTACCATTTGAGATTCACAGTCCCAATCCATGTCATCCTGCAGCCGTGTCTCTGTAAATACTACGCTGTGTTTCAGTTCACCAGCTTTGTTTTGAATGCTATGCGCATTCAGATATGGAGCCTTTAATTTTATCCTTTTACCATCTTTGTAAATTCTTTTATATGTTATTTGACTCTTAGATTTGAACTCTTGATCCCTTCCCGTCATAGTCTGTTTATTATTTCCTGCACTAGTACCTTCTTTTTATCCTTAGATAGACTTTAAGGCTTTTTAACCTTAATTATCCTTTGATTTACCGTACCTTTCCAAATTTGATCTTTTGCTCCCACTAGTCAGTGTAAAAATCCTCTCTCTTTACCTAGTTATGCATCTGGCAAGAATCCCAGCCCCAGCCTAGTACAGGTGGAGACTGTACTATCAGTACAGATCCAACTTATCCCAGGAAAGATACCAGTGCCCCACAAACGGGAATCTATTTCTGCCACACCAGTGTTTGAGCCACGCAATCACCTCTCTTAATTTGATTTGGCCTATGTCAATTTACACATGGCTCAGGCAATAATGGAGAGATTATGATCTTTGTGTTCTGTTTAATTAATTACCAGGTTGTTTATGATATCTTTGCAAAACCTCTTTCTTTGTTCTACCTATGTTGTTGGTGTCTACATGGACCAGGAACACTAGATCCTCTCCGTCCCACTGCAAGTTCCTCTTCAGCATTGGGCAGATGTTCTGAAACTTAGCACTGGGCAACTGCCTGGACTCTCAATCTTTGCTGCAGAGAGCAGTGTCAATCCCCTTGACTATACTGTTTCCTACAGATACTCCATTCCATTGTTCCTCCCTCCCCTCCACCCCTATTCCCTGTACCACGGTCCATGGTGAGTTGGCTCATTCCTCCAGACAGGGTGAACAAAGGGTCCCAACCCAAAACGTCAACTTTCCTGCTCCTCTGATGCTGCCTGGCTTGCTGTGTTCAGCCCCACACTCCACTCTGACTCCAAAAACTGCAGTTCTTGCTTTCTCTGAACAAAGTTTAAACCTGTTTGATAATTTCAAAGTGTGAGGCTCCCGCCTCTGTTTCCCCTTTACATTTCGCATTCTTAATCATTGATTCTATCACAGGTAGAATAAAAGGTTTCTGTTGATTTTTGTTGGGCTTTAATCATAAAAAAACATTCACGTTTGAGATAATTATTTGGCTAAGTTCAAAGCTCCCCCTTACCAGCTGTGGTTGGGTGCTAGTTTTAGGTCACGTTAATGAACTGACTTTTTCAGAATGTTTTTTTTGTTATTAGCTGCACCTTACAATGGGAACCACTTACCAAAGATGGGAAATATTTCTTAATCAACCAGTTTAGAGGTGTTATTACACACATTCTGGAGCATAGAGTCATAGAGTCATACAGCACAGAAAATCCATGCTGAACATAATCCCAAACTAAACTAGTCCCACCTGCCTGCTCCTGGCCCATATCCCTCCAAACCTTTCCTATTCATGCATTCGTCCAAATGTCTTTTAAACGTTGTAATTATACCTGCATCCACCACATCCTCAGGAAGTTCATTCCACACGCGAACCACCCTCTGTGTGAATAATTTGCCCCCACGTTATTTTTAAATCTCTATCCTCACACCTTAAAAATATTCCCCCTAGTCTTGAAATCCCCCATCCTAGGAAAAAGAGCAGGTGGAACTTGAACAAGTACACTCATTGGAAAACATGTTGTGGTGTAAATACAGGTTTGTTTGTAAATATAAGAAAAGGTGCCGGGGAACTGAAGAACTTATAGAATCCCTACAGTATGGAAGGAGGCCATTTGGCCCATCAAGTCCACACGATGGGCACACAATTCTATCCTATCCCTGTAACCCTGCACTTCCTATGGCTAACCCACCTAGCCTGGACAGCACGGGCAATCCACGTAACCTGCACATCTTTGGACTGTGGGAGGAAAAAGGAGCACCCAGAAGAAACTCACGCAGACACAGGGAGAATGTGCAAACTCCACACAGACAGTCACCTGAGAGTGGAAGCGAACCCGGGTCCCTGACGCTGTGAGGCAGCAGTGCTAACCACTGAGCCACCACGTATGCCTCCAGCGCAAGAATAGGAGAAAAACATGAGTATATTATCCAGAAGTACTTTCATATACAGTTGAACGTTTTTCCCCCCCAACAGTAAATCAGTCAAGTTTCCAATAAATCAATTTACATGCGAAGCCCAGTAACAAGGCTCTTGTGGTGTAGTGGTAGTGTCCCTACCTCTGTAACTGCTCAAGTCCCAACTGCCACCAGAGATGTGTGATAACGTTTCTAAACAGAAATGGCTGGGGAAACTCAGCAGGTCTGGCAGCATCTGTGAAGAGGAAAAACTGAGCTAATGTTTCAAGTCCAGTGTCCCTTCATCAGAACTGAACAGGTTGATTCGAAAATATCACAAAACCAATGCAATACCACCAAAGAAAACGCAGGGATTAAGAATGATGCAGACTGTGGACATGTGCAGGAATGTTCGCCTTTATTATCAATGATCAAACAAAAGTCAGCAAGAGCAAGGAATAGTAAATGGCTGAGTTGAAATCGCGGAACTTTCAGCAGTTTCTAGAGTGCTGTAAACACGCTCTTGCTTTGATAATTACAGTTAAAATCGGCAAAAAGCAAAATATCAAGAGAGTTTTGTTTCAGTTTCTGGTAACTACAGCAGAATTGATTCCCAGGCTGCACACACACACAGGGGTCAGTTCAGCTGGCTAGGGGATATTGACAGGGCTCAGTGAAGCCAAATTGAATCTCTACCACATTGTTTTCGACATGTTCACAGCGGTCTTGCTAATGTTTCATTCACTTTTGGTCGCATCTTGGTAATGAGATGAATTGCTACGTTATTAAAGGTATCAGCAAGTTCACGTCTTTCCCAGCCGTTTTATTCTGCGCAATAGTTGATGAAATATGTAGACAAGGACATGAAGTTTTTTTTCTTTAGTTCTTACAAAGTGCCGACTCGCTGTTATCTCAAACAGCCACTTGTTCAGAGCTGGTATTCGTCAATGAATCTCAACAGGCTATTCAGCTGCACAAGCATCACAAATGAAATGTGAAATCGACTTCAAGCTAATCTACCATCCCTTGTTAGGGTTGTTCACAGGCTGGTTGTAATTACATTGAAATCAGAGTAAGAGTGTGAACTACAGGAACATGAACAGCCCGGTCTGTCACCACTTCTGTGCAGGTTTGACACCAAAACTATCGCGTTTCCCCTCCCGTGAGGGGATCTCAGGAAATTGCTGGAGGAGGATTCTGGTCCAGAACTAGAATATTTTAGCCAGGCCACGTTCAGGATGATTCAGCAAACACAAAGGGGAGTAGGAATCTTGAGCTGTCTTCCCCTGAAAGCTTTTGAAGCTGAAGACAACTACAAATGTCTAATGTATGATTATTTTTTGTTGGATGGGTGGATTAAGGGTTTGACCATCAACGTGGACAGACGAATTATTGATGGATTGCTGGAATTGACTGGAGAAGCTGAATGGTGTCCTGTTTGACGATCACAAAGTGAGGGAAGAATGGTTGCTGGGTTCCATTTATGTGTAACCTATTTCTAGCGATGAACAGTCTCTGAATCAGATGAGAGAGATGAATGGTGGCTTTAAGACTGGTGTGGGAGAAAAGGGTTCTGGGTGATTGGCTGCTGGCAGCAGCACTGAGGAAGGTGGGAACAGACGCAACTTGGACAAGACTGGGTCATTAAATGCATTCAATGGATAGATACTCAGACTTTTAATCAGGAAGGGAATCAAGGGTTCTGAGGAAAGTTGAGGATTGTCAGATTAGCTATGATCTAATTGAATGGCAGAGCAGACTTGATGGGCTGAGTGGCCTGCCTCTGCTCCTATGTCTTCTGGTCTTATGAACTCTGCTGGGGTTGATGTTCTTAGCAATTTCAAATTTGGGTAAGAGGAGAGTTTTTTTTTAGAGTAAATGGTTTGGGCAATGGATCAAGTTTGGGAAGACGTGGTAAATTAAAGAGAGGCCATGATCTGGTGAAGAAGGCATTAATGCTGAGCTCTTGTCCAATAAGAAAGGGACATCAGTGATTGCTCATAGAAACTGAGACAAGACACAGGAAAGAAGTCGAAACTATTTTACACAGTCTGTGAATGTAGTCTGGAACATTCTGCATGGAAGAACAGCTGAAGCAAGTTCAACTGGAACTTTTAAAGGGGAATTGGTCCTTTCTCCCTACCCCTCCCCCCTCACTTTTGATGGTTTGCATTGCTATAATGGGCTTTCCTTATAAATATTTAATTGGCTACACCAGCGATTATATCCGTGGTGGTTAGTAGTTTAACAAAAAGGGGAAAAAAAAACAAAAAAAAAAAAAATTCATGGTGATTTAGCGGTAGGAAAGTTGTTCTGTTGTGTGTGATAACAATCCTGGATATAAAAGGGGTTTGGTGATGGCCGTTGATGAATAGCAGGAGGAATTGGGAGTCGCAATAGTGTGTGCCATCTACCGAATGCACTGCTGTAACTCAATCAGGCTCCTCTGACAGCACCTTCCAAAACCACAACCTCTACCACCTAGAAGGACAAGGGCAACAGATACATGGGAATGCCACCAGCTGCAAGTTCCTCTTCACACTCATCACCCTGACTTGGAAATATATTGCAGTTCCTTTACTGTCACTGAGTCACAATCCTGGAACTCACTCCCTAACAGCACTGCAGGTGTCTCTACAGCATGTGGACTCAGCAGTTCAAGCAGGCAGCTCATCTCCACCTTCTCCAGTCCAATTAAGGATGGGCAATAAATGCTGGCCTAGCCAGCAGCACCCACATTCTATGAACTAATAAAACAAAACTGGGGTTAACTTCAAGCTGAAAGCACCTGTGCCATGACCTCTTCCTGTGCTGAACCATTCTATGAAAACCTGAACATACAAATCATCAGAAATAAAATGACTCTCAACTCATGAAATTGTATTGGAGTTTATATAATTTCCCAACCAGGGGTTCAGCAGCACATTATCAAACATCCGTCATTATTTGTTGTATACCCTACACCCCGGTGTTTATCCATATTTCCTTGCAACGCACCAATACTATTCACCACAACCAACCCACAAGAGAGTGAGTTCCACAGTCTCACCACTCTCTGAGTGCAAATGTTTCTCCTGCCTTTGCTGTTGAATTCCTAGTGACTGTTTTATATCAATGATCCTAGTTTCAGACTCTCCAACAAGTGGAAACACCGTCTCTATGATGTCAACATTTCCTTTCTAGCCTGATGATTGCCAGCTTGTACAGTCTTCCCGACTGGGTATAACCTCTTCTCAATCTTGTTTGTACCTTCCCTGGTGCTTCTATAAGCTACTTGTCTTTTGGAGATTAGAACTGTTTACAGGGCTCACTATGGTCTTGGCTATGTTCGGTAAAAACTTAACATAATCATGTTGCTTTTCAATTCTACTTCTCTAGAAATGTTCCAGTGCATTGGTTGCCTTTCCAATTATCTGGTTAATAAAGAAGGTGGCCATACAGGAGACTGCATCATGTACATACAGGCAGACAGACTAATCAGGAAAAGCTGGCAACAATTGGAGAAAGACGAAATTAGTACACAGCATCAATATAATATTTTGGTCCTCAGATGGTAGACAGAAAGAGAGAACAAGAAGGAAAGGGGCAGAGAAAATGGACGAGGGTTAAAATGGGCTGGATACCATTGACCAATGGGGAATGTGTGAAGTTGGGAGGGAGAGAGATCCCAATGTTAGCACCTAGTGAATATGCAACTCCTTCTACCACATTTACTCAATTGTTTTCCAGGGAATATTTGACCACTGTATTCCTTCTACCAATATGCACCATTTCACTCTTTTTTTTATCTAAGATTTATTTGGCTATTCTCAAGTGGGGACGGAATGTCTTATGAGGAGAGGATGAGTAGGTTGGGCTTATATTCACTGGGATATAGAAGAATGAGATGAGACCTTATTGCGAGTCTAGGACCAGAGGGCATAGTATTAGAATAAGACGTCACACATTTCAGACAGAGATGAGGACAAATTTTGTCTCTCAGAGGGTTGTGAATTTGTAAAATTCCTTACCATGGAGGGCTGTTGAGCCTGGGCCAATAAGTGTATTTAAGGCTGAGGCAGACAGCCTTTTAATCAGTAAAGGAACGAAGGATTATTGGGAAAAGACAGTGAAGTGGAGTTAAGTATGATAGTATCAACCATGATGTCATTGAATGGTGGAGCAGATTCAATGGGCTGAATGGTCTACTTCTGCCCCTATGTCTTATTATCTTATTTATTTTGGAATTATATAATTGGACATCCAATTTGTCACTGATGCCTTTCCCAAGGGGTTTTATGATATCAGTTAAGCCCCACCTTCCCTGGGAGTTGACTTATAAAAAGTAACATCTTCCACCTCTATTTATAAACCCGACCATTTTGCAGTTCCTGTTAATCTCTGACTGGAAAAAGCACCATGTTTAAACGTTAGACCAGGAGGTGGTGTAGTCAGAGACAGACGGATTCCCATTCTTCCCAGCACGTTTCAGATGGAAGTGACTGTCCATGGTGGCTTGACTAATGCAGCCCATCTCTCTCAGAAGTTTCAAGATGTCATTTCTGAATTTGACACCAATAAAGACATAGAGGATTGGGTTGAGACAGCTGTGACTGAAGCCAACACTCTCTGACAGCGCCATGGCAAAAGCTAGTTTTCTGTATAAATCACAGCCAGCCGTGAACACATCTAGCGATCGCAGTGTCCTGATAATCATCACCACATTGTAAGGAGACCAGCAGATGAAAAACATGACTGTGACTGTCAGCACCATCTTGACGGCCTTGTGCCTCTCAAAGTTCTGGGTCTTGCACAGAGTTTGGATCACTTTGGTATAACAGTAACACATGACAACAAGTGGCAAGGAAAAGCCAATGCCATGGTACAGGATCTGCTCGGCCAAGAGCCAGTCATTCACCCTGATGTCACTTGATGGGTAGGTGCATTTGGGAATGTCCTCGGGTAAGTTTTCCTCAATTGTTAAGAAGACGAGAGTTGGAATTTGAAGGATGAATCCTATGGACCAGATGGCTGAGCAGACCAGGTGCACATACTGGGCTTTGCGTTTTTTGTAAGTTTGGACCGCGTAGACAATCGCCAGGTACCGGTCAAAGCTGATGCACCCTAAAAGCAAACTATTGCAGAAGAAGTTGAGTTTGTGGATGGAACCTATCACTTTACAAAGGAAAGTACTGAAGTGCCACCCCAAAATTTTTTCCACAGCAAAGAAAGGAAGGACAAGGACAAGGAGGAGATCAGCCATTGCCAGGTGCAGCAAGTAATTGTCAGTAGGAGTCCGCATGTGCCTGTAACGCAGCAGGATCAGCAACACCAGGCCATTGCCAATGATCCCAAACAAGAAAACAATGAAATAAAGCATGGGCACAATGACTTTCCGGAAATATTTGGGGGTTTCATCTTCTTCAGGGCAGTAAGTTTCTTCATAATCAAAGTCATCTGTAACATTGTCATACAAATAATCCTGAAATTAGAAAGAACAAAAATCACAAACACTGAACTGAAAATAGTGTAAAAAACATTTAACAATTTGCAAACATGTCTACCTCATTCTTCCCACAAACTCCTGCCATGATTGCTACCGAGTGAGCAGCGCTGCTTTACAGATCTGACCCTAGATTTTGTCTAATTTAACCTATTTTTGTTATCAACCTGTTTGGAGATGTTATCACACACCTCTGGAGTAGGTCGAACTTAAACCATGGACACTACCACTGTGCCACAAGAGGGCCCTAAAAGTGTTATTGCACACCTCTGGAGCATGTGGGACTTGACCCTGGGTGTCCTGGGCTAGAAGGACACTAGCACTGCACACAAGAGCCCCTAGATAGAGTTCTGAGATTGGACTGTTGTCACTCTTAGCTTAAGGTTAGGGCAAGTCAGCATTATCTCCCGATGAAATCTGCAACTATGTGGGGATTGGCTGAGGATAATTTCAGGGCACTCAAAATCCGCGTAGTTGCTATATTGATCAGAAAATTTAGTCCTCCAATCACCAACTAAATGCCTCAATTTCTGATACCCTCATATTTTTTCACCTTGCAATAGTGTTGATGAGCAAGACATTTCTTGGGGATGTAGCTGTACATATTTAATGAGGGAGGTGGAGAACTTTAAAATTTCAAGCTGGCATGCTGGGGAACAGGAGATGGCCATCCAGCCCCTTGAGCCTATTTCACCATTCAGTATGATCAATGGCTGACCTGTGCCAGTGGTCATATGTCCAATATACCCCTCCTTCAAACTACAACCCTCAAAACCTGGATAAATCTATCAACACCAAACAAAAATTTTTAAAAAAGAGGCTGGAAATACTCACAAAATCAGAGAACACCATCTGTGAAGAGAGAAACAGAATTAATATTTCAGGTCCATGAACGTACATCAAATCTATCAATTTCAGTTTTGAATTTTTCCATAGACTCTCCCCAGTTTCAACAGCTTGTTGAGGGAGAGAGATCCAGATTCCCACTATCCTCTGTTTGGACAGTTGCCTCCTAACATGATCCCTGATCTGCATGGATCTAATTTGAGGTTCTGTCTCCTTTTCCGAATTCCCCCACCAGAGGAAATATTTCTCTCTATCTACAGATTAAGACTCTGACAGGAAGATTGTGCTGGAAATCAGGCTCCACTATTCCACGAGCCATACTAAACTTATAAATGTTCCATTTAATCACCAAAATGGTCAGTTTGTTTCTCTTTATTATGTTAACTGGAACTATCTCCATCTCCACACTGATCAACAAGAGACATTCTCACTGGGTTTCTTCAGTAAACTCAAAAATTATACATTAATTAAAGGCAAAATATATTCTTACAATAAATGGCAACTTATCAACCAAGATTTTATGTAAGATTATCACCATTTATCCCAAACACACACACATTAACATGCAGACAGAATAAGAAGAAACAGCTCTGCAGAGTGATTGTGGGAGAGAAAAATAAGTGAAAGAAAATAACCTCCTTGTTAGTCAAGAGTTCAAATGCAGAAGGTAGAATGGGTTGACCTCTCACAGTTCCTTTGATTTCCTGTCAATGAGATCCAATCTATTGGTCACAGAGTGATGGATGATCTTCAAACTAGATTTCAGATTCAACTAAGAAATAGTTGGGACCACTGTTATGTGAAACTTACAGGACTCAGGAATACTTCATTGAGAGAGACAGAGCGTGCAAAAATGCCAATCTTTCCTTGGCAGTACTTTGGTAAGGCAAACCAGGGCTGGACCTATACAGTTAATGGTAGGGCCCTGAGGAGTATTGCTGAACAAAGAGACCTAGGGATGCACGTGCACAGTTCGTTAAAAGTGGAGTCGAAGGTAGACAGGATGGTGAAGAAGGCGTTTGGCACACTTGCCTTCATTGGTCAGTGCATTGAGTATTGGAGATGGGATGTCATGTTGCAGCTATGCAGGACATTGGTGAGGCCACTTTTAGAATTATGTGTACAATTCTAATTGCCCTTCTATAGGAAGGATGTTGTGAAACTTGAAAGGGTTCGGAAAAGAATCACAAAGATATTACCAGGATTGGAGGGTTTGAGTTATAAGGAGATGCTGAGTATGCTGTGACATTTTTCCCTGGAACATTGGATGCTGAGGGGTAACCTTATAGCGGTTTATAAAATCAAGAGGGGTATGGATAGGGTGAATAGCCAAAGTCTTTTTCCTAGGGTGGGAGAGTTCAAAACTAGAGGGCATAGGTTTAAGGTGAGAGGGGAAGGATTTAAAAGAGACCTGAGGAGTAACATTTTCATGTGGAAGATAGTAGTGTAAGGAACAAGCTGCTAAATGAAGTGGTGGAGGCGGGTACAATTACTACAACATTGGTAGATGAATAGGAAGGGTTTAGAGGGGTATGGGCCAAATGCTGCCAAATCAGACTAGGGTCAGATTGGGATATCCGGTCGGTGCAGACAAGTTGGACCCAGGGCACAGCCTTAGAGTAAAGGGAAGACCCTTTAGAACAGAGATGGCAGAAACTTCTTCAGCCAGCGAGTGGTGAATCTATGGAATTCACTGCTACAGAAGGCTGTGGATGCCAGGTCATTGAGTATATTTAAGACGGAGATAGATAGGTTCTTGACTGTCAAGGGGATCAAGGGTTACGGGGAGAAAGCAGGATAATGGGGTTGAGAAACTGATCAACCATGATTGAATGGCGGAGCAGACTTGATGGGCTTAATGGCTGAATTTCTGTTCCTATGTTTTATGGTCTTATGGTCAAGGGGTCTGTTTCCATACTGTATGACTCCATGACTCTATGAACTCTGCAGCAACAACCTTATCTAGATGTGACTAACAAAAAGTGTACCTCAGTCCAGAAGTTGTTGCTATGCAATGAACAGTACAGATTATAAGCATTTTTCCAAGTCTGTTTGCCGAACAATCAAAATAATAAACCTATATTTTACCTCTCTCTTAAAAGCTTTCGCTTGTATTCTTCATAAAGTCAGTGGACTTTTGTAAACAGCAGGTGATCCCAGCCCTCTTTGGCCTTTTGAATTCCAAAAAGTCACAGCATAAAATCCTTTGCAATAATCCCAAACCTCCATTTTCCTATCGTCATTGTCTATATATATGTGTGTGTGCGTATGTGCGTGTGTGTGTGTATGTTTCTAACACAACTTCAACAGCTTGATTTGTATTCTAACTTAAGCTGGAGGAGTGCACCGTCATTCTAGTCTCACTAGTCCACAGGTCACAACATCCATTAAAAATAACTTCTATGATTGATAAAATGGTACTTACATACTACATAATACTACGCATTAAAAATAAAAGATCAATCACCAGGTTTCTTAATGAACACAATTATTGGTTTATTGTGAAAACAAAACTTATATAATGAAGATGCAATAATTGGTTAACATGCATAGTCAGTAATATAGAAGTTTCAATACTTAACCCTCTAAATATTCCCAAAACACTCTCTCTCTCTCTCTCACACACACACACACACACACACTCTTCTGGAGAAGAGAAAAATGAATAAAAAGTGAAGACACGTTCACATATGTATTCTCATTTCTCTTTGCAATTTTTCCCCATAACATAAACAAGTTTTAAGTGATAAGGCTGTAATAGCAAACTCCATTGAAATAGGCAAAGTCTCAAGGATTATGATTATTGTATGTAGTCATTGGAAATATACTTCAAAATATTTAACAGGTGGTAACAATCCCCTGGTTTCTTTTAGTACTGTAGGGTATCTATCTTGGAGTTGATTTAGATTTTAGTTAGGAAAGTTTTCCCCTGGCTTCTCTATGCCAATCCACCTTGTTGTAATGGACTGCATCAATTCCCAGATCACAAGCATCAATTGCTCCTTGAACAGCTTAATGAAATTTGGTATGGCCAACACTAATTTATTGATCAGAATGGCTTTTAACTTCTCAAAAGTTGCCTGGCACTCCAATGACTACATTACTTTGGCTTTTTTTTGGAGTGAATCATTAGTGGAATAACTATAGTACTAACAATTTTGTACAAGGTTGTAACAATATCCACGAATCCCCAAAAATCTCAAACATACAAAACAGGAGCAGGAGTAAACCATTCAGCCCCGTGAGCCTGCTCCACTATTCAATATGATCAAAGCTGATGTGTTTGTATTTTGAATTCCACATTTCCATCTACCTCAATACCGTTTGATTTTTCTGCCTAACAAGAACATATGAACATTAGAAAATCAGATTTTTTAAACTATAGAATGAGAATTGACAATGGTTATCATTGCAGTAAGTATTGATCCCAGTTTTATATTTGAAGGAATTTGGATGTTACCACCTTCCATGGAGGGATTTGAACCTATGCCCTTGGAACATAGAGTTCTGGATTACTAGACAAATGATGTTACCACTACACTGCCCCTATAAAATGCACTTTCATCATTTGTAAGACTAGCTTTAAATTCCAGATTCATAAATTGAGTTTCCACCAGTCATCAATATGGAATTTAAACCCATGTCCCCAAAGCATTAGTCTAGTCCTTGATCATAAATATTGGAATATCACCACTACATCATCACAATCAATATTTTTCATTTAGTTTTAGGGTCTGGGAACTCTTAGTTACAATGCTTGTACTTTTTCACTCCTTGGCAGAACTTGTCCTCACCATACCATACGCCCTTCATCAGAAAAGGGGGAGGGGAAGGGGGTTCTGAAATAAATAGGGAGAGAGTGGGAGGCGGATAGAAGATGGATAGAGGAGAGGATAGGTGGAGAGGAAACAAACAGGTCGAAGGGGCGGGGATGGGGCCAGTAAAGGTGAGTGTATGTGGGGAGTTAGGGAGGGGATAGGTCAGTCCAGGGAGGACGGACAGGTCAAGGGGGCGGGATGAGGTTAGGAGGTAGGAGATGGGGGTGCGGCTTGAGGTGGGAGGAGGGGATAGGTGGGAGGAAGAACAGGTTAGGGAGGCGGGGACGAGCTGGACTGGTTTTGGGATGCGGTAGGGGGAGGGGAGATTTTGAAGCTTGTGAAATCCACATTGATACCATTGGGCTGCAGGCTTCCCAAGCGGAATAAGAGTTGCTGTTCCTGCAACCTTCGGGTGGCATCGTTGTGGCACTGCAGGAGGCCCAGGATGGACATGTCGTCTGAGGAATGGGAGGGGGAGTTGAAATGGTTCGCGACTGGGAGGTGCAGTTGTTTATTGCGAACCGAGCGTGGGTGTTCTGCAAAGCGGTCCCCGAGCCTCCGCTTGGTTTCCCCGATGTAGAGGAGGCCACAACGGGTACAGCGGATGCAGTATACCACATTGGCAGATGTGCAGGTGAACATCTGCTTGATGTGGAAAGTCTTCTTGGGGCCTGGGATGGGGGTGAGGGAGGAGGTATGGGGGCAGGTGTAGCACTTCCTGCGGTTGCAGGGAAAAGTGCCGGGTGTGGTGGAGCTGGAGGGGAGTGTGGAGCGGACAAGGGAGTCACGGAGAGAGTGGTCCCTCCGGAAAGCAGATAAGGGTGGGGAGGGAAAGATGTCTTTGGTGGTGGGGTCGGATTGCAGATG